TTGGTTGGTTGGTTGGTTGGTTGGTTGGTTGGTTGGTTGGTTGGTTGGTTGGTTGGTTGGTTGGTTGGTTTTTTGAGATGGAAGCAATACAGAGCATTAGCGATGTAGTGGGTTACATGTTGAACTACTAATAGATAGGTCAGCCGTTCGAAACCACCAGCAGCCATGCAGGAGAGGCTTTCCACTCTCATAGTGCTTTCCCGCCTTGGAAACCCACAGAGGCAGTTCTACTCTGTCCCATGGCATTGCTGTGAGTCGGAAGCAACGGGATGCAGTATTTGAACTTACGCCTCATAAGGAAAATCTGCTTACGTCGCCACGGTCTTCTTGGGCCTGCAATCATTGCTCTCATCTCCATCAGCTGGGGCTTCAAGCTTGACTGCCATTGCACCTCCCATAATAGCCAGCTGTGATTTCCACCTGTGTTAGTCCCGAATGACTAAAGAAACAAATTCAAAGGCACGCAGGTGTGTAAGAGAGAACTTTATATCAAAGACCAATCGTACATTAAGAAAACTTCCCAGTCCACATCAAGTCCACAGATCCGATCTTAGCCCCTATGTCTGTTACCAGTCTATAAATTCTTCTTCAGACTCACCGGCACATGTAATGATGCCGAATGCAGGAAGAAAGATCACAGGCCAGTGGGTGGAGAGTCTTGTGGACCCAGTGGCGGTGGAAGCATCTCAGCACTGGCATGGGTTTCCACATGGCTCCTCCAGCTCCAGGGCACCGGCTCTACCGGAGTGCCCGCATGTGGCTTGTCAACAGGAATGTCTCGCAGGAAGAGGAAGCAGAGAGAGAGTGTGTCTGGCTTCAAGTGAGTTATGTATCTCCTTTGCACCTCCAAAGTAGGTCACCCAGCTGCAACCTGATTGGCAGGCTAAACTCCACCCCTTCACTCTTAATAGTCTTACGTTGACACCAGATTGTGTAACTACCACACCTCCTAAAGCAGACCCCATAGTCAAGGATTCAGATGGTAGGCCGTTTATGTGCATAAACCACCTGGTGCTCTCTCCCAGGAAAGATCACCTTGGCAGTGCCTCTCCTCTCGTCTAGGGTCAGAAGGGATTGGAATCCGCTTGACAGCGTGCAGCAACAGTGTGGGGGGAGGGGGGAGCAGGTGGGTAGCGCTCATAGAACTCTCCCTCCATGCTGGAGATCACAGCTACCACATGTCTGTCAGCAGAGGGAGTGTGTGTGTGACTGCAGTGCCGGACAGATTTCAGCAGAGCTTCCAGACAAAGAGTGGCCAGGAAGGAAAACCTAGCAGTGTACTTCCGGGAAAAAAAACAGCCCATGAAAAGCGCCCTTGGGCACAGGTTCGCCGTGGGATGTTCAGTCCCACTCACCAGCAATTTATGTGGGAGGTGATCCCAGTGCACAGGGTCGAGACGGGGAGATGAGAAGGGCTGATTAAGATTCCCCAGTGGTGCTGTCAGGTGGATATTGGACTACTAGCCTTTGGGTTGATGGTTCAAACCCACCAGCCATTCCATGCCTGCTCCCATAAAGATTCATAAAGCGCCAGAAACCCTATGTAGGGTCCCTGTGCATTGGAATTGACTCTTTGGCAGGGACAAGCAACGGGGTCTCAGTCCTACTGAGAAATCTCAGAATTCTCACTGCAAAGCACAGAGAGATTACAGCATGCCTCCTCCGACACCAATGATGGGCGGTTGCCCCGACACAGGACGGACATTAACTTCTCACTCTGCCACGTTTCGGTGGATGCAGCCTAAGAAATCTCTCAGGCAGGGAAGAAAGTGACCTGTGTCCGAGGTGGGGGACTACCAGGGAGCTAGAAACAGCCCCCGACTGTTTCATGGGATATGGCCTGGGGCATGACCCGTG